CCAGAAAACACCATCCACAGCAGCAGAAAGGCGAACCCTGGGCAACAACAAGAGAAACCGAAAAGAAACGGGGAAAAGAAAAATAAAAAAGGGGAAAGAAAAAAACAGAGAGAAGCGAAAAGGGGGAAAAGGGGAAAAAAACAGAAAGGGGAAGAAGGAAAGAGGAAGGGGGAGCCTAAGCTCCTACCTCCCCAACAAGCGCACCGAAGGACCGAGAAGAATCCTTCACCGGAGGAAGGGGAAAGAAGCTCCACGGAGGGAGGGGAGAGAAACTTCCACAATTGCCATGACTTTGTTTTTAGATTCTCTGACATTTGAAATGATATGAGCAGAAGTGGATACAGTTGTGTCCCCCAAGTTGGGTTGAATAATAGCCAAAATGTAAAATAACAAGAATTAATGGGGGCCGAACGAGAGCGTTTTGGCTTAAGTCACTAACAAATTTAGGAGTGGTTTTCCAGTTTGGGATGACAATACTCAAGTTAGAATCCAACCCAACCACCAAACCAACTTTTCCAAATTGAGTCGAAGCCAACCCAAAAACCGACCCACGCCTCACAAAACCAACCCATCAGGTCTGTTTGGGTAGGTTCGACAGTTAATATACCACTCTAGTTTGAGTGAATTCTTTTTAGTATTTATATGTGATATAGCATGTTTCCTACATAAATAAAAGAGTGAGTTTGGGGGGCACTATTCATAAGCCGCGAAGCCGAGCTGAGCCGGCTAAGTCGGTTAAGTTATTTTCTTTTTTTTTTCTCCAGAATCCGCGAGCAAATCCATTTCTGGCTCGGCTCGACTCGACTAAGCCGTGTAAGCCGGTTTTTTTTAACGTTTGATTCAGTATTTTAAGTTACAAATATGCGTTTTAAGCTATTTAAAATTTGTTGGAAATATTGAAGTGCGGCTATGATAAATATATGATCGATAAATTTTATCTATAAAAAATAATTTTACATTAATTGGTATTTTAAGTTGTGAACTGAGCCGACTTTATGGCTCGACTCGGCTAATTTTATTTTTTCCTTTGATTAATTTTGTTTACAGTCGAGCCATAAATTACCAAATGGATTTATGGCTCGGCTCGGCTAACTTTTTTTTTTTTTTTTACATTTGATTCAGTATTTTAAGTTACAGATATTCGTTTTAAACGATTTAAATTTTGTTGGAAACGTTGAAGTGCGGCCGTGATAAATTTATGATC